TATCGATACTGTAGTTTTTTGTTTACGTCTGATAAAAAGCCATGATTTATAAGGCCATACTGGTGTTTTTATACGTTAAAATATAAATGGCTTTTTTTATAATTAAGCCGCACGTGGTAAACCGGTGGCGCAACCTTAACCTTATCTCAAAAGGGCAACTTTTCGTAAACGAAAACCTTAAAAACCCTTAATAACTTTTAAAGGTGATAACCTTAGTAGTAGTAAGTTAAAAAACTTAAGTAACTTCTTCGTTTTTTATAAACGATATAACGGCTTCGGCGACGCGAATCTTGCTTATTAAAAAGCTTATAAGTGCTTAAACTACGGCGGCAATTATCCACGGCGAAATTGCGAAAAAAAGCTAAAGAAGTAACGATTAAATGCCGCTTTTATAGCTATAAAGAAAGGCGAACACTTTATACCATTTGAATCCGTGCCCTTCGTAATATAGCTACTCTTTACGTAAGAAACCGCGAAAAAAAGACCTTAAATTAATATAAACCTTCTTTTTAAAACTTTTAACCTTAGCAACGTATATTCAATCGAATTTTCAAGACTTTTTTATTAAAAAACCAGCAAAGAAGCCTTTTTAAATACCTTAAAAACTTAAAACGTCATGTTTATAATATCTTTGCTTATAAGGCTTTACTCGGCATTATATAAGGCTTTTAGGTTAAACTTACACTTAATTCAATTATGGCTGTAAAGAACCTTTCCGCTATCGACGATAAATCGATAAAGATCTTAAGCTTCAAAAATTTTACTTCTTTTTTTATCTTTATTAATACTTTTTATTTCTTTTTTTCTGAAGGTGGTTAAGAAAAGCGACAGTGAATTTCGATATATTTATCACTTATCTTACTTATTTAAACGCTTAGTTAACGATATGATATTATAACTAAACGGTATCTTAAAGTACGCCGCGAGTACTAATATTTTTAACCTTTTAAAGGCTATTAGCCGAGGCTATTACTTTATTAAAATTTACCTTAAAAACGCCTTTCGACGTATCCTCGTATTATTATAACATTGCTAGCTTTAGTCCTTACTTAGCGAAGAAAACACTATTATAAAAACTACTTACTGTTTAACCTTCGAACTATCTTAATTTTATTTAACCCATTTATAAAAGCACTGTTGGATCCATGTGATTCCACAGTCCAACCATCCATACAGAACCCACATGTATGATTAGATAAGAGATTAGATACCAGATTGTGAGGTCACTTAGCCAGACCTGCAGGTCCAGCTAGACTTCACAATCCAACTATCAGCAACATAATGACCTTGACCCCATACTCGAGTATTATGATTGATCGTTCAAGCCTGTTCCCACAAGCACTTTATTAAATGCTCGCAACCTTATTACACCGTATCTTTTTCTTATATTACTTAAACGACTTTATCTTTATCCTTTTATCTTAAATCTTCGATATTATCCCATATATATATAGCGTGTACTTTAAGATTTTTTATATGCTCGGCCTTTTTTAGAACACGTCGAAAGACGATAAAAGCATTACATTTAAGGTTCTCAGCATCGAAATCGATACGAAACTAATAGTTGCACATCTTCGATTAAAAAACTCGCTAAGGCTTAAGAATAGTAATAAAGATGCTACTTTGACTTATATTTACTCGCAATTAAGCAGTGAAAATAACAGGCTATTTTGCTTTTTATTAACGATAGTTGTCACGGCGAGCGTACTGAAGAGCTGGGACATGGCCGGCAGCAAGCAGCTATTACTCTATTGACAAGAATATCAAGACTAGAGAGGAAAGGAAGAGAGAGAGAGAGATAGGTACAGTGGGAGGTTGCCCCTTTAAGGGGATCCTCTGGTCAGATCCTTCCCCTATTGGGAGGTATCCACTTGTCATGTGGGAAGGTCTGTGCAGGCCGCCACAGCCGTCACAATAGTTCCTCTTGGCTGCTTGTACTTTATATATACGTTCGGCTTTATTAACAGCTTTAATAATTTACAAGCTTACCGCATTTTTTTTAAGGATTATAAATAATTTAATTTAATAGCGGGACTATCTTAAACGCTTTATCGGCATGCACTTATTAATCGACTTATATCAACCCGTATACTACGTATTTACGAACTTTTTTTTTATATAACATCGGCGGCTTTTAATACTAAGAAACCCCTACCTTGTTTAATTAAAGTGAAAACGTCCTTATTTTAATCTTTCAAGTTTTTTAAAACCCACTTATAACCGTTAAAAAAGCGCTTTTTATTAACACGAACGAGTTAATAGTTATTTAATAAGCTTTTCATTTTTAAACCCACCTTTAATAAAACGCCACGGTTATTATTTATATAAATAACACTACTGTAAAAAGCGGTTTTCTTAATAATACTGTTGGCGGCAAGGCTTTAATAAATACTTTCCGTGATATCTTAGTTCATTACGCTTTAAAGTACGTTACTTATTAAATAAAACGAATTACTACTAAAGAAAACACATTAGTAAACGCACTTTTACAAGCTTTTTAACCTATTATGATTAATTTATGCCTTTTTTGTAATGCCTTTCATTAAATTCGCTTAATGTATAGCTTATATTATTACCGATAAGCGCTAAGTTACCCTTTTATAAGTAGGGCTGTACTCAAAAACACGTAGTGGTTACGACATGGCCGTACGCTTTTACGAAAAGTGGTGCCGCGAACACCGCTACCCTTTTTAACTAGCTATAACTACGGCACTTGTAAAATAAATCATTACGAAGGCGTATAATAAGCTCGGTTATAAACGCGTTTAAGGCGATATAATATCGAGATATCTCTTAACACTTCGCTTTATTCACGTCGATCTTAGGCTTAATATTATAATCTTTAAAGATAATTACTTTTGCTATATAATTTAAGGTACGAAATTAGTCTTTTTTCATCTTAAACGTCCTAGCATTAAGAACCCTCTTTTGCTATATTATATATTCCTTTAACTATGTAATAATAAAGCCATTAAAAAAAGCATTTAAACGATATAACAATAATAAACGCAGCCTTTAATATAATATAACACGGCTTTTTTAATTTAACGATGTCGTACACTTTAAAAATGCTTTATAAAACTAATACCGCTTTCGTTATAAATAATTTAACCCCTTTGTGACGGAACGCTCACCATAACCACCATGCCACGGCTGTTTCTCCCAAAAGAATGTCGAATATCAAGCGTGGCAGCTTGACATTCAATGGTGGTACATGTACTCATGTCCGGGCTCCAGGACTCACCACATGGGCTACCTATACCAGACCATGACACCCTTTACATATCACGCCCACCTTAGACAAGGATCATTGTATGCTTCTATTAAGGGCTACCAAGATGGATTAAGACCGAAAAGAAGTAAATATCATAATCCCCGCAACCGGCAACGAAGCATGCCCCGTTCGCTACATAGGGAACCTCCTCCGGTAAGGTTGCCGCTCCTAGAAGAACATGAGCTACAAACCTTTATTCACGCTCACCTCTGGTCCTTTACTCGCACATGCGCTCTCAAGATCCTTGAAAACCGCCTTATCCGCCTTGGAGTACCTACCGGCGTTTACAAGAGGCATAGCTTTCGCAAGGGTGCAGCTTAGCACGCTGCCGACCTTAGTCTTTCCGAAGAAGAGATCATGATCTTTGGCAGATGGACCTCCGCCGCGGTTAAATAATACTTTCGAACAGGCAAAGAAGCAAAGCTAAGGCTCCAACGACGTTTTGCTACTGTCAGATGCAAGCGAGTTCAGAATGTGCAGGTTGTCAAGTGTGTTGTCTTTTTCTTCTTCTCCTTCACCCCTTGAGCGTGCAGGAATTGATGATCTATCTTCTGGGTGGGTCAGATGCCCTGTGCGTTTCTGCCCCACTGGAGATCTTCCGGTGTCTATTTCCGGCTCCCATTCAACAGCTACTGGTCTCTCTCATGCAGGCGTTAACCATCTCCAGGCTTCGGGGCATACCGATGGACGTCCCTGAATGCCCAATCCCTGAGCCTGGGCCCTTACTGCCGCCTCACCACCTTCGGGTGAATGGGGTTATGACGAACTTTGGGCAATGCGCACGAGCAAAATCGGCAAAACTGGTGGCAACTTGGCATTCACACGAGCAATCCAGTTCGCGTGCAACGATCACCTATTCAAGCATTCAAAGCCTTTAACCCTTAAAGCCTCCGACAACAAGCCTCTAAGCGCTGAAGCCAATCTCCTTCCCTTAAACACTATTTTTTCACGATCAGGCCCACGGAAGCTATGCCAAAAATTTCAATTCAGGCCTCCAACAGGCCTTTCAGCTAGGCACTCGCGCCTTGTATAAATGTGCTACAAGCATACTAGTTCCCTCTAATCGATACAACAAAAAGCCTTCACACCTTGAAGCCATCTTCCCTTACCCGTATTTTGAAATTCCCGATGGGGCCCGCGGAAGCTGTGCCAAAATTTTGCATTTCGACCGTTTACCAGGGTGCTATAAGCACTCCCAACCAACTTCAACAGCCATCCAGAGTGCTATAGCACTCTAACTTCAACCTAGAATGCCACCGCACTCCTTACACGCCGAAAAACAACAACATACGGCGAGAGATGGGACCTTCTGTAGGATAGCTACTCTCACGGCTACAGCACAGCTGGACCCCTGTACGGCCCACCTGTGCCCTGTATCTGACCCATGACGGCCTGAACAGGAGCCCATGAGAGCCGTGACAGCCCTGATGACAGGGCTCGGCTACAGCTACCTCCACGGAGGACTCTCACCTCCAAAAGCACGTTTCCTATCAACATCTTGATCCAATTCGTCAGTGAACGTTACCTGTAGATGGTCAGTAAGCAAGGGGTGGCGTTGAACGCGTTGGCATTCTGGGTGGCACGCAGGGAGGGTGGTTCGCGACCAAGGCATTTGGCTTATTGTGTATTACAGGACGCCCAGAAAAAGCCACGGCCCAGACTCCGATGCACCCAGCCGCTAATCAAGCCCCAGCACAAACCTAGCACAACTACCAATACGACCACCATGGCAACAAGAAATAGCAGCAGCAGAAGTGTGCATCACGTCCCGAAGTCGTATCTCGCCTGCCCTACCTCAGGCCAAAGGACGCCGTCTTCTCGACGTCTGGCGTCATGCCGCGGAGCGAGGAGCGTGCGAAATACCCCGGGAATCACACTCGCCTCGTCATAGGTCAGCCGTGGGCCGTCCTGGAAGGCCCTTCGATTTCCCATACGTACGGGCTGGGTGAGGAGCTGATGGTTGGTAGCTGTGGTGGGAACGTGGGTGAGACCCTGCGCTCGATCAACGGGTCTGAGAAGTCAGTCGCTTGAGCACTAGGGTTTGAGTTGGTAATGATGAGAAGGACGGATGGCGAGCCAGTCAGTCAGTCAGTCGGCCGTTTCCGGTCTCGATGAGCTCGGCGCGTCCTAAATCGGGACCGTGGTAGAGTTGGGTCACTCGGTGTGGCTAACCTAGCGATCCTGTTGATGCGGGTTACACTCAGGGGACAAAAGTCTCCGCCCGACCTTAGACTTACACCAAAGCACCCTACCTTTAAATATAAATAATAAAATAAAGAAAAATAGTGCCGCATTGACGGTATTAATAGACTATGGTTAAGACGTGCTTGGAAATAACATATCTAAGACATCTTGTTCATAGACTGATAGTTAATTTACTATAATATTGTAAACATTGGGTGTCTTGGTAAATGTACGGGCTCGGGCGGAGACTTTTGTCAGGTAAGTTTATACGAGTGACACGGATGATACAGATGACACTGCTTGTGAGCTTCCATATGTGTGCATATGCACATGCGACATAATATACTGGGGGTAGACATATGGGGAAGGATGGCAAAAGTGGCAAAGAGGGGGAAGTGGAAAAAGGGGTGGGGGGGAAAGCGAAAAGCGGGCAACATGGCTTGAGACACACGGGAACTTCTTCACTACTGGTGTTGCAGTCTTAACACCTAGACATCAAATGCACAGTATGCTCCAATGCTGGTCCCGGCGCGGCCTTCTTCAGCCTGTCCTCGGCAGCTTGAACCTGAACCTCCTTTTCCGACTCAATGAGCACATCATCATGAGATCATGAGAGCTATCGATGGGCTTCATCGTAGGAGTCTCCGGCCTCCTACCTACTCAGCATCACCCTTGTTCGTCCACACTCGTCATCACCGTCGTCGCTACCACGATCCGCACGACCGCTAACGGCGGGGGCATGCAGATGGGACAGCCCCCCAGATGGGACAGTTCCCCCACCAAAACACAACATTTGCACCCACATATAACCCCATTGGTATTGAGGCTATAGATAATTTATATATATATCAAAATAATCGCCTTTCCTTCGTGTTTTTAGCGATACCAGTGCTTTTAGCGGTAGCAGGCGTCAGCGGATTTCTCGGCGCTGAGATCGCATCACGATGGGCTCTTCCTCTTCATCATCCGGCTCGTCAGACACCCCCTTGCCCTCTTTGTCAACAACCACCCCTTTGTTTAGATCTTCTAAATCTGTTGAATCAGAGGAGAGGGAGTCCTCAGAAGGCGATTCCTCTGATTCTTTGGTCTCCAGGTTCTGCATTGCACGCAAAAGTCGTCGTCTCTCTGCCCGCTGGTCAATTAGCATTCGTGCGGCCTCTGTATGCTCAATCTGCTTTTGAACAACGTCTCCTATCCTCTATAGCCGTTGATCAGGCTCTTTCTGGGGGGCCTTACGGCGCTTTTTAGACTGTAGACGCTCGATCTTGTCGTCTTTTGCCTCATTTTGTAGCTTCAGGATGGCTAACTCAACCACCGTCTCACCGTATGACTTCGTGACCGCGCGCACTGCTGCTTGTTGCTTAGGGGTCTCCGTGACTGTTGACAACATCAGGGCTATATCCTGCCCTGATGTAGGGGCTTCTAGGGCATCAGGGGTGGTTTCAGGGTTCATTATAGCAGCATCTGTTGCTTGTATCTCTGCTGCCTTTACCACATGCTTATTTGCCAGTGTCTTGTTCCTATTTATGGGCCAAAGGCCAACAGCACGCCATCCCGAACATACGATAACAGGAGTAGCTTTGTCACGGGCTTTCGCCAGGCAAGGAAGGAACTTAATCTTACCAATAGGGGCCGAATCGTTCAACTGACCGAGCTGGTTAATGAGGCAGCGATAGGCGGCCTTCACCCCAAAAAAAACGGTCAGATCCAGGGGCTGGAAGATGTGAGACTACCCTTATTAGCGGAATAACTACTAATTAAGGATATAACCTACCGGGGGCAGGGAAAAAGCTCAGATAGACGTTATTTATACAGCATAGATACATAAAATCATCTGAGCAGTGGCTGCCATGGCCCGTCGAGCACCAACAGGTCGAACTCATCCGGGTCTTCAGGGGCAGTATCTGGCAGATAGATCTAGGGGTTTATTTAGCATATAGTTCACATTAAAAATTAAAATTAAAATAACCTTTTTAAGCCATTTGAGCACGATCGTGTTCAAGGACCAGCCATTAACAGAGTAAGTCACTATCTAGTCTGCCACCCCGGGATGCTCGTGAATAAGCTGCTCTTTGAACCAGTGCGTCTGTATCGACTTTGCCTTAAAGATAACCAGCGGCCAGAGCTTTTTTCCAGTAGCAGTGATCAATTCAGCCACAGTAGTCCACGTGCAGTTATCGTTGGACTTGACGTTGGCCCCTTTTAAGCCAGAACTGCCTATTACAAGGCCATCAGACCTATAACCTCCTGGTTAGCCGTCTAAAAAACACTTGGATTGGACGTACGTACTGCCGGCCCTGCATGATGCCGTACTTATTGATATTTGTGCGGTTCTTGAGCTTGATAAAGTCGAAATCTGTGTAGTGGTCATGATAACCATGGATGTTGTCGGGAATGGCAGCATTGATACGCTTGTAATCAAGTTTTCTGCCCATTTTGGTCTTTATCTCCGGGTTCCAGTGGATAAAATTTCGCATGTAATGGCCCCAAAGATGAGGCAGTTTTCCCTGGGATTATAGGATCTTCTGGATGATGTACCTCACGTTGGCGTGAGTAGGGGCATGGCCGGTCTTTTTTTAGTACAGAATCCATGAAATTACCTTCTTTTCTTGAGCAGGGCTTATTTTCTGTCCGTGAGCATGTCCTTCACGCTGGGTGCCAGTTGTAGGCATCGTGGAGTCTTTAACTTTGCGAGAAAGGGTGGTTTTTGGTACTCCATAACGCTGGACAGCCTTTCGGAGGGACAGCCTTCCGGAGGGACAGATCGTCACCGTTCACGGCGGCTATCGCCTCAGCAATGTCTTCTTTGGTGTATAAAGGCGCTATTTCGACATACTGAAGCTTATGATGCTTACAGAAAAAAAGAAAAAAAAGAACCACAGAACTTCTGCCTGGTTGGAGGGGATAGGGGGCACGGGTCCCATTACCCCTCAGATTAGGGCCGGACGTGCTAACTTCCGACCACCGTCACGGAACATCCCGCTATAGGACACCTAATAAACTCCACATTGGAAGAAACACCAAGAAAAGACAATTCAGACGATATATTTATGATATCTATAGCTTCAATCCCGATAGAGATGTGGGTGGGTGCAAATGTTGTTTGTTGGTGGGGGAACTGTCCCATCTGGGGGGCTGTCCCATCTGCATGCCCCCGCCGTTATCGTCGCTGTCGTCACTGTCTCGCTGTCATCGCTACCCAGATCATTACTTCGGATCCAGTGACATATCCAGCCAAAGAGAAGCACAATCCAAAGCGCGAGTGACCACTAGCGCTAGAGTCGCCATCTCCAGTCTAAACCAGTCACTCCAGAGGCGAACGAAAGCCAGTGAGACCGGCTATATGGGTCAAGTCAAGTCCTCCCCATCAGCCAAGTGATATGAACGGACAGGACTTGAGGCTATTCGATAAAAGCTTGACCGTTTTGTTCGGCAGCGAAACGGCCTTTGCCTTCTGTACCGCCCCATTTCCCAGTTTCTTGTATCTTCTCGAGCTGTTCCGCCAGCTCGTAGTTGCTTGAGACATTCCATCTTACCCACGGCCTGGGCCACTTCTAGTACCTCTTCTACATCCTTTGCATCGTGCTGTTGCCTCGTGCTGTGACCTTCGGACCCCCTCTGGACGATGCGTAACTGCTCGGGGATACAAGCATAGCGCTATGGCAGTCCCAGGCGCTGATGAGACTCTCGACAATCGTGGGAGTCCGTCTCCAATCGTCTCTCCAAATAGGCAGTGCCGGCGCAAAGCCGATGCCGACGCCTCAAATCTCGGGCAAGCGTCTCAAGCAGCCCGGCCATTTCCATGGTGCATACTCCACCGAGGCGACCTCCCCAGCGAATGACTCGACTTCTCGCCAGAAGACGCTGGCTCCATTACGAAATATCTCGATAGACCTGACTGACGCCCAGGGGATATCCCGAGTCTCTAAGTCATACACTATATAACGAGCAGCTGTTCCCGTCCAACCCGGCTCGGCCAGCATCATTCAGCGCGGCTCGGCTCTCGAAACTTACTAGACCTGCTAATATAGAAACCACTGTATTTTTACCTGCTGCACCTAGGCGAGCTACTTTGAACAGACCCCGTGCTACGACGACGCTACCGCGATGCTTAAGTCCAAGTTTACTGCTTTCTCTGTCGAATAGCCCAAGGCCGAACAGTCCACGCTCATTACTTCTGCTTCTACCCCCAGGCTAGCCGAGTCTAACGCATGGAACGTGCGATAAGTAATCTAGCGCTACAGGTGGCAAATATATGGAACCACGGCTCGATTAGTAGCCACCACGCCGCGGCCGTGTTAAAGCTGATGTGAAGCTATTGGCTGGCTCGAATTCGACAGGCGAATTGGTTTCATATTCGAAGGCATCCTGCCACTTTGACGATCCTGGTCTGCGTCCCATCTCTTGGGCTGGAGATGGGGACCCCAGGCGGCGATGAAAACGCAGATTCTGATAGCCGGCCATGTTTGCGCACTGGCGAGCTGTCGCTCGGTAGGTCGGGGATAGGGGGAGAAATTGTACGCCGATGCTCTGGAGATTATTGAGGGTATGGCTTGATTGAAATGCCCCTGGGATGTGAGTTGAGAGCTGAGTTGAGCTGAGATCGAGATGGGTACATGTTGGTCGCCGTGGTGTGGCCGTGTCAGCAGCCAGCCCTGTAGACTCGGGGTTGCTATTCCTTTCTCGGTTGATGTAAACTACACATGTGATCCATTGCGTATTAACATAAAGCTACCGGAGATCAGATCTCATCATAAAACCATCTATATAAACAACATCAAAGCTCGCACACTCACCCCCCCCCCCCATGATCATCCCAGCCCTCGTCCCCTCCCCTTCCCATTCTTCCCTATCAACCCAAAGGCAGGCCCCCGGACCAGGATTAACCAACCCATTGACCAATCGACCAATCAACACCCACATACCCAGCACTTCACCTTCAACGTTAACTCCCCAAGACCGGCTTCAAGGCACTAACACCCAAAACAACCCGATACCCACCACCACCACCCCCCCGCGCCAGCTCCAGCCCGACCTCGACAAAACACCGCACGCGCAGCCCCTCCCACCAGAACGGCAGCATCGGCCACGGGGTCGGGATCCACATATATCCATCTTCCCTCTCGAAGTCATCGCGCCTTCCGATCGGCAGCGGCAGTCCTCTGTCGTCGTCGGCGGTGAAGATGTGCAGTCCGGCCTCCTGGGCCCACGCCAGGATCGTATCGGTGGCTTTGGTTCTGAGCCCGACGGCCTCGCGCGGCATGCCGGGCGCTGTTATACGGCTGGCGCAGTCGTTGAAGACGATACCGCTAGAGGTGGTGGTGGTGGTGCCTGGGATGTGCCAGAGCAGCTGGGCTGACCACTGGTTCTGGTTCTGGTAGCGGCTGCCGTGCTTGAGAAGGATGGGCTGCGGCATGAGTATTGGTAAGGGTCTGGGACGACTGGCGGTCTTGCTGTCGTGGGTTTGCGTCCGAGGGGCGGAGATGAAGCTTGAATGGGCTGCCAACGTGTTGGAGTCTTCTTTTAACCAATCTTGTCGGTCGAGAATGCGGCGCTGCACTGCTTGTGGTCCTCCTTGCCTGCCTTCTTGTCGGGGTCGGGTCTGGGGTTGAGTCCGAGGTGACATTGTAGGAATGAATGAGCTGGGCGGAGTCGGTGGTTGATCTCTCTCTCTCTCTCTCTCTCTTGGATGATGTCGGGGATCTTCCGGGGCTATATCGCAGGTCGTCGACAAGCTCAATAACCGGAGGGACACAGCAATGTCGGTTGGGAGAGAGAGATGTGAAGAAGTTGAGTTGTCCGTGAGAGCGAGAAACCGACAGTCCTTCAGAACGATCGTTCCATCAGGCCTGTATATAAGTACTCATTACCGTTCCGTCGCATCATCCGCCTCATTGGGCACGCCGCGCAGTGCCACGTAGCTCGCTCTTGCCAGCCCAACAGGTAGGTTGTCACATACCGATGTCCCTGCGGATTGAAGCCGGTCAACGAAGCGAGGCCGGTCAGCCCAGAGTGCTTCAGTAGCTGCGGCGTCGGCGTCCCCCATGGGCCAACGTTACTGCTTCCGATGCTGCCGGCATGGTGGCTAAAGCCAGGCTACCCAATATCCGATGTGCTTGCAAGTCAGCCCCTGTTCGAGTAGAGGTATGGCATGAGAGGCTGGACCAGCCCGAAGCAAGCCCACGCGTTCTTCACGGCGAGGATGAACAGCGGGAGGGGGCGTTGGCGACCATCACGCCTTCATTCAAACCGGCCAGGACGTGAAGGATGGAAGATGGGCAGATGGCTTCCTAGGTATGACGTCGAAACCCCCTCAAAGGTACATACTCATCCCTAAGACTAGAACTAGGCACCTACTCAGACCGTAAGTGAGTGCATATAGTTTCTGCGAGTTTATGCACGAGCTGAGCCATACAGGTGTAGTCTCTCAGCTTTCTCTTACCTTTAACCCTAGAAAGTTGCTGCACGTTTCTTTTCATTTCTCTGCCGACCCATGCTAGCTTGCTCCTTGCCCATGCCACCCATGCCACCAACGTCCTGCATAAACACACCACCAAGTATAAAAGTCTTGTTCAGGTAGTCCACCCGAAAGGCTTCCAGGGAAGAAGAAGGCAAAATGCATGCCCAGCCGTGAAGGCACCGTTGGTCCAACGCCCAATCCGGATCCACCGGGCCTCTCTCCCGACGGCTCAACGGCCACGGCTTTGCCTCCTCCCCTGATCGTGGTCGGGGGAAAACAAGAGGGGGAAGCCATGCATGGCCTGACTGACTGTATTTTTGGTCGTGGGGCTGAGAGTTGGAAGTGAAGGATTGTAGGAGAGTCGCTGACTCGGCTGGGTAAAGACGACCGGCTTCGACGCTCTATACCACATATCAGCCGTTAACTACTAGCGCATCACTTTATCGCATAGCTGTGAGCGTGAGCCGCACTAATCTTGCCTACGAATAATCGACCTTTAATCGATGCTCCAGATATGCGCGAACCGGCGTATCGCGACGGCTGCCAAACTTCCATATGCCTGTGATAACTAGACGACCGCTGGCGCAGAGAGAGCCCATGTCTACACATGACGCGTGTAAGCATTGTATAAGAGGATTGAACTTACTAATAGGCAAGCCGGCCCATCAGACATGAGTTACTTAGGGTCCAAAACTCATCGTGCGGCAGAGACCGCAGGATTCGAATGAGAGTCGAAGAACGTAAGCTCCGGGCAAGGCGATAATATCGAACTGATATTCGCTCCGTTGCTTTCGAGCCCCGTGGGCGTACGTTGAAGCTTTCTTTCCATATCTCCTTGCGCAGCTCGGCAGGCAGCTTGCTGAACCCGGGAATTCGGTCGCTTGCTGCTGGTGTCCCGATGCTGTTGTTTTATTCGGTGCAGGCCGAGCGGGGTACCCGAAAGCCTTTTGCATGACTGGGTAAGAAAGGTCTAGGAAATCTGCAAGTGATTGTCTTTGGCATCGCATAATGTTCATGTCTGACCCCAGTTGTGTTTATCGCGTAGGACCTTCTCCAGCACTAGGCCATAGTAGGCCCTGTCATAGGAACACCCGACGATGAGATGGGTCCCGGGTTGGGAGCTGGAGTGCAATGACGACGGAAGTAGCCCCGGGAGAGCCCGGGTACAGAATGCCATGACCGTGACGCGTGGGTCTCGGTACAGCAAAGTTTTTGGGAAAGAAGATTTGAAACATTCCTGTATTTCGGTATGTATGTCGGTAATGCCCTTCCTCGACAAATGATAAGCTTGTAGAAAACTCATCCAGTGTTGTACCCTAACCGAGAGTACCATTGCTACAAGGTTGCATGCTTCACCAGCAAGTCTGCTCGTTGTGGTGAGATGGGCAACAACCCCTTGCAAGTCTCGCAAGTCGTTCAACGAGGGTTCCAGTAATTGTCTCCCCAAATCTCCAACCGGGGATGGATCTCGCAGAGAGTTTGGGAGATAAGGGGCAGGGTATCGGCAAATAAGGGTGTTTCCGTTGTGCCGAGGGAATTAACGGAGCCAAGGATACAAGCTGTGTCGAAAGGCCGCTGTTGTCCTTGTAGCAACAGGCCCTGAAAGATGGAACCCAAAGGGGCTACCTGAATGCGCTCGATATCCTCGTCAAAGTAGTCATGGGTGACACGCTGAGCGAGAACATGGGAGGCACCATGGTCCGGGAGAGTCTTGTCGTCAAGCAGCAGCCACACAGGAAAACTGGGGTGAAGAATGTCGCAACAACGGCGTCGTAGCAGGTTATTTGCTCTTCATTGTCCGTCGCCTGGTTGGCGGGATTGAGAGGGCGAACGGACACCCGTCTATAGGGTGAACAAGGCTGGGTAGCGGGAATCCGTCGTTGGAGTTGGGGCGTCTGAAAGCAGAGAGACAAGTATTGTTGGCAGGATTCAGGGTATAACAAACACCCCAAGTGTCGTGACTGAAGCGGCGGCCGGGGGAGCGAATGATGTTGTACTCGACCTCATTTTCCTCGTCAACGAAGAGGCGAGTGCGCAAGGCTCGTTTTCCCGCGCCCCGCATCGCCATCCCTCTCTCTCTCTCTCTCTTATCCCTTTCTTTCGCGATACTCGCATCTACCTAGCATCATTCCATTTCCTTTCCTTCCTTTTGCGCTCTTTTCTCCGCTTTGAGCGCTTGCTACAAACTGCTCGCCTTATGCCAAAGACCCCAGGGCGGGTGATGAGAGTGCAACCCCGAGAATGGCCCCAGGAGCAGGCCTAGACCTCTCGATGACAATTCACTAACAGGGGTTTCCTGTTATCGGCGAACGCTCCAAACACAAGTCAGTCCGGCCCTCGACAGTCCCATCGTCGGTTGCGTCCGAAATTGCGAGCCAGTTCCTCTGTGCCGATCCAGCCACGCAGCCACGCACCATACCCCATTCATTTGAGTCGCCCATCATGCCAGTGAATACAAATGAGTGAGAAACGCGCCCGCCGACAATAAAGTAAAAACGGGCGTAATACTCCGTCGCACCCTTGACAGAAGCGCCACCGGTCGCCGTCTTCCTCCCCCGAGGCCCCGGAAGCTAAGCGAGTCCGTATCAGAGTACAGAATTTCAACCATGCCGCCTTCCCCATAATCAGAGACGAGCATAACCGCAGTATCATTGTCCTGAGCTCCGACGATACCAACTTCGATGGGGAGCACGTTTGTCCCCTCAACATTCACCGGAGCCAAGTCAAACTGTCAATGGTCGCGGTGAAACTGTGGCCAACAAGAAGGCAGGTGGTCGAAAGGGTAAGATGAAGCAGCCCGCACAGCTTCCTCCGTCTTCTCAGGAACGCGGCACCCAGCAGCATGGCTATACGATTGACGAAGCTGCCGGCTCTCTCTACCCGAAACGCGAATTTAGGGGCTAGTTAGAACGTACCTAAACGCGAACTCGACTATTCTGGTGATGAGATTCCCGGTACCGAGTACTGGGATGAATCCCAAGAAGAGCCTGAGTGGGCCACCTTTTCCAATGAGACAAATGCCCTCCGACGGTGACTCTGGATCACGCCATGATACTGAAGTTGGATCTGCCGCGATATCGGTTCGAGATCCCAAAGCGTCATCTCCATGAGCTTTGACGGGCCAGGCGACATCGTACTGCCCTCCATCGAACGGCCTTCTGACGGCGACGATTTCGACGCACCCGAATCCGACCGCGAGATCGGACTCCCAATCCCACAATGTCGGCTCCATAAGCTTGGATGACTACCCCTACGTTTGTGATGCACCGAGTCTTCGACATGTACCGCACCCTCGCAAGGCACGATACCTTCCCAATGCACTGTTCTGCACATGGGCATCGCGAGGCATATCACACCAGAAGCCACCCCCCACATCTCAACAACAGCCCGTATTCCACCAGCAATACCCCAACATGAACCGTGCCAGACTTCGAGGATTCTCGCGCGCTGGTGCTTTCGCTCCTACGGCTACTCTAGCTCCAGACGACCGCCCTTCCGTTCGAAACACGCGACAAGTTATTCCCCCACAAAAAGAGAAGCCGGGTCTTGTCTCTCGATGACAGCCCGCCGCTGGCTTTGGGGAATACACGAACGGTTCGAGCCATCATATCCGGTTTGGTCACGCAGAAGAGGTTGTCCAGTAGCGTATTTTGGACGACGGATGCATTGTGGTTAAGGGCACCAAGACGTACTCTTCTGCTTGGTTTTATCCTTTTTCGCGGAGCGAACGACTTTTTTGTTGGGCGGGATGGAGCGATTCTGTACATGACTTGCTCGAGCGAAGAGTGGCGGGCAGCATTGTATTCGCCGGTGGTGCCGTGGAAACAGCCTTCGTACTCTATGGGATTACAGATAGTTTGTGACTTCCATCAGGTGCATCCGCCCCTATGGGCTGGCGGCCCTCTGATCCTTGTTCATTCTTCGGGTCCTCAAATGGGCTCGGTGGTAACATGGTTTGGGCCTTGTCTAGCACTAAGAAATGCGGCGGGAACTCTGTTGCTGCTTGCTGGCTTTGCGCGAGATGAGATCTTCATGGTAGGTCGACCAAGTAGGGGGGCCCCTATTTCGCTCCCTTTCTGTCTCCGGTCTTCCATCTAGCCCTTGGCAGCGACACTGTCTTCGCTGACGTGGCCTAGCCAGTGCCTCAGATGAGGGGGACGTTGATT